AATTTTATTATGTCTTCGACCTGATAAAATAGGCCGCTGATCTTATTAGACATAGGACAGACAATATTTCAGCTAGCGTTTCCTTTGTACGACACCACACACGCTTTACATATGCCTATATTCATGAACTACATAGGCCCGAGGACTTCTGTAATTCTCGTACATAAGCATACACATCAGATGGCCCGGTGTGGTTTAGTAAGTCTCGAGTTGGAACCCGAGTTAATGAAGGTGTCACAAAGTGGTTGATCAGTCCTATATCCATCGACTGCCTATGTTGGCTTGCAAGGTTGCCTATACTATCCAGCAGCGCCGCGAGGAGGCCTTAGGTCGGATTTTGCTGCCACAGGTAAATAGAAGGAAGTAAATAACAGAGTGCATTTGTTATTCAATTTTAACTCTATATATCGTCTATACTGATGATAAGGAGTGAAGTAGTAGAGAGTGCTGATCACCTTACTTATCTCTTTGAAATGTCATTATCATTAGCTTCAGAAAGGTCGCTTAACTTTTGCAAATTAAAGTCATTTGTTGGGTAAACAAAATTTCCATCTGGCAACAAACGGAACAGTATACTGTACAACAATTTCACTTTGTATTATTCTACAACTATGACATATGAACTATGGAAGTGTTAAAACCTATGTAGGTTTCAGGTATTTTGATCATACCATATATCATGAAACAGTCGAATAAGCTGTTTCCAAATCAAACATTTTAAGCATATCTAACGGCTACATAATTTAGTCTATCAGTTATTAACTTCATAATGAATACAGTGGTCTTGAGTGCTGTTAGAGGTATGAGGGCGGTTATCACTTTCCAGTTGCCCACACCGTGGAAGGGTTCTTCTGGAGGTACCTGAAAAGGAAATTGGATTACAGGTGGTCTTAGTGACCTGAGAGTGTGATCGCAGTGCCCAAGGGACAACTGCTTGCGGTCGGTCACACATGACCTTTTTGTGAGTAATTTTCGTGTTAGCTCTGTACATGTTGAGACCTTATCGCCGGAGACGGATATTCGTGGGATGAGGCGAAGTGTGTATTTATAGGGTCGACCTTTTCTAACCCCACCTCTCCTTGTGGAAGGCAGCCTTGCTGTTATGCTGGTTGTCTAAAGGAAACGCCTTACTGCTGTCACACCTCTGTACAGTCAGCAGTACGACTTCGCCTTCGGACCTTGGGTTTGTTTCTTTTAGTCTTACCGTTCTTCAACCGACCTGTCTGACATGGTAGGACCTTGAGGAACGATTGTACCAGCCAATATAGCTCGATTGGTTCATCACGATCGGGAAGCCCGACTACCATGTCAAGGTAGCAACAACGGTCAAGATAATTTCGTGAACTAATGCCATAATTTGATTTAGTCATCCGTATTTGATCCCTTTCTCCTTTTCTATGGAGTTTATCTCTATTCGACCAATGTCTATTAAAATAGTACTTTACTGTAAAATGTTTACACTTATTTTGATGTATTTGAATTTCATTTTGACAGATACTTAATTGAACTTGACAATACAACTTCTCTTACTAAAACTCCAATTGTCACACCTATAAAATTACAAAATCCAACGGTTGTTTTAGATCAATTTCATACTAAAGAAACTACTTATCAGTTAATTAATAATGATGTTGATAATAAAGAAGATACTACTCCTAAAGTTACAGTAAAATCACGCAAAACACGTGATCAACATCCTCATCATAAATCTCTACTCATTCTTCACAACAAACCACAGAATCTATTCTTGATCATTTAGATAGTCTTCATCAACAACATAATTATCATCATTATCATTATCCATATCAACCAATTGATATGGATGATAATGATGATAATTCATCTGTAACAAGTTCTATGACTGATTCATCAGAAACTGTACGTCGATCAACTAGACGTGTTAGACCACCGAAACGTTATGATTCTTCAGCTGTTTAGTAATCACTTAATATTATACATTGTAATCATACACTATGAAACTGGGGTTTTTTTGTGTGGAGAATCTTTGTAAAAAAAAGAAAAAAAAAAGTAAGACAATATGTTTTTGTGAAGTTTTGTTTTAATAATGGTTCAATGTTCAGGGGGGGGGGAAATATTGATTATTTGTTACCTTATGTGTTTATATGTAATTCATATTCATTGGAACATGTAAATTGGATAAGAAGTGTATTGTACTGTGCATTTTGTTGTACAGTGTACTTTTTGTTTGTTATTAAATTAAAATGAATTTATTCTTAAGAAAATTGTTTAAATGGATTAGAATGTTTGGATTGTTTCGTCTATTGTTGAATAGTTGTTGATTTCATGAAAATCAGTATGATTGATCATTGTGTCATTTCTTTTTGTGGAACCAGTTGTGTTAAATGATTTGTAACCGTCTATCAAACAAATGACGGGTTTATTGCGCAGCAATTCATTTCGTCCTACTTTATGGCAGTGAAATATAGCCGGTAAGAGTAGGAGATATTCGTAGGTTACTAGTATTCGATCATAGATGTCTTCGAAACATTGCTCGTATATCCTGGGACCACCGAGTACGTAATGTAGTTGTTAAGAAACGGGTACTAGGTAAGGATGACAAATCAATTGGTGAAGTAGTGAAACTTCATCAGTTGAGATGACTGGGACATGCGTTATGTATGCCAACCACCGACTGCCCCAACATGCGATGTTTTATGGTGTAGGAGTAGGTTGGAAGAAAGTTAGGGGTGGCCAGACCAAAACATGGCACAAATCCATGAAGTCACTGACAAATAGACTGAGCAATGTTGGTAAGTATAGACTACCTGGTTGGGATCTGCGAGACTATATAAATCGATGGTTAGAGACTTTGGTTGACGCAAATGGCGCAGGTGCATCCACTCTCTGTGTTCTCCCAAATTCTAATCTTCTGAATTACTCATGTCCCTTTTTTCCTCTTTCCAAATTTATTTCACTGGATTATACTCTTTGAATAACATCTTCAAACCCTAATGTTTCCGATTACTGCTTATACTCTTACTACCTCTACCACTGTTGGATTTGAATAAACAATAGTATCGGTGTGCTAATGTGGTATGGCAACTTGAACTGATGTACGTACAAAGTTCTACGTTGTTACTGACTGGTTGAGCTGGTATAAGAGTAAGTTGTAGGAAAGCCGGGAAAGAAGACAAAACAATACATAGTGTCAATCAATAAAGTCATTGAATGTTAGTCTGAACCATTTTCGTAAATGAAAACTATCTGGTTATACAGTCCACGCGCTTATTGTGGCTAGTAGTTGAAGACTTTAGGTGATATAACTCAGTATTGGTCATAATGGCTTAGATCCATCCGTTCTTCATTTTCCTCTTGATGCTAGTTTCCAGTGTTCTTATATACATATCTTTCCATTCTGTCTTCTCGAACCACATTGTCAATGTCTTTCTCACAACTGTGTTACTAAATTATTCTTTCGCTACTCACCTTATTGCGTTGATATGGTACGTCAGTTTGAATTAACGAAGATTTGTGATAGCTTCTACTTTGATTATAACCTGTTATCTCTCGTGGAGAAGCATAGGCCGCTCACCACCATTCTTCGCCTGTAGCTCTTTTAGGGCTATTGCCAGTCCCAAGCCCGGGTAAAGGAAGAGGGTTGGGTGTTTGGTGGGCAACCACATCTCGTAGGAAAAATTGCTAGCCAGAAGCTCCAATTAGCTTCAATTGTTATATTTGAAATGTCCATTGATTAAAAGGTAAAAGTCGATAGTTCGGTATGGTAGATGTATTAGTTGTGATAAGAATAATTAAGGATCAAATCAACGGTTCACAATAGTCATAAGTGAATCAAAGACTTGGAAGAATAGAAATTGAGATAACATTTAATAAAGCTATTAAGAGTACGCAATATTGTGTGTTCGAATAAGTACACAGTAAAGAGTATATTCGAAAGGAAGTTAAAAGAAAAAAGCAAATCCTCGAGGGTTATGAGAAATAATTATAAGTAAAATCGTTTTCTAAGCTTAATTCATTCAGTCAAAGAAGATATAATCGTGTTACAAATATTTTTATGGGTATAAAGACGGAGTGTTAGCTCGAATTCCTATACTTTCTGTTATATATAAGGGACGAGAAAGAACCCCATAAGGAAAATTATTAAGTATGCGGTATATTACTGTAAAAGATTAAGTTCTGTTTACTTCGTGACCGCTATCGATCAAGTGTGATAGAATTGAACTGAGTTCTGACCCTACCATTTTCCCAACTACGAGATGTTTCATGTCACTATGCTCGTTATAGCTGTCTCCACAGCATCATGTGAATCCTTAGATGTACGTGAATGTAACAAGATTAGTTAACTTATCCCTTAGTTGGGGAGATGATAAATAGAGGACATAAAAGTACACTGCTTGGGTTGGTCTATCAAGTAGGAAATTTTTCTGATGTTTAAAGAAGAATTATGAATTTTGATAATATGTAAGACCACATCAATACTACGTAGTCACATTTACATCTATATGTTACCTTCATTGTCAAAATGCCCTGGTACGGCTGAGAGTGAGGAGGGTCAGCTCTCCCTTTCGACATGCTTTCATATGGCCACGTGCATACAACCACTGCCACAAAAATCCGACTCGCAGTTGATGTGTTGTTTACGAAACCGAAGGGACGGAAAGCCTATGTCCGGCTCTTTAAGCGGGTTGTTGGATACGGAGGAATCACCTAGGGGAGTTTGAAAACCCTGATTTCAAACTTATAGTGCACATGGGTTCTAGAATTCTGGGAGGACGAATGGCGTATGAACCTAATGTTAGCCACCGCCCACCATGAGACTGTATCTCCTAACGTTGCTCCACTACCTTGTGGATCAGACCTTCAGGTCGAAGGCTCCGGGTGTGACCTTCTAAGAAAACTACCCGCTTCGGTTTAGGCACCCAGGTAGTATCACAGCCCTCACACATATCGAATGTGATTTATGTGTCGCATTTGTATTTGGTGCCTCCTTGTACCAATATATATGTGTTAAAATAAATAATAAATAAACTATCAAACATGATTTCTTTTTGTTGAGTTCTGTTTTTATTCAATGTACGTCGTCTGATATAGTAAATAACGACTTAAGCTATTATACCTAATCAGAAAATAAACCATACTATTTCAATGATAATGAAAAGTCTGATATTCACAATATGATAGTTGAAACTTTCATATGGTACAATAATATACTCTAGTTGCCTAGATTAGATAGATACCATACATTTTATAACAGAAATTACTGTCTTAAAATAAGAAATAGAGACAAAATCGTGTATGGAGTTATTTAGCAATAATGGAATAACAATTATTTCTTCGGATTCATAATTCCATCCAATTGAGCCTAAAAATTAAAAAAAAAATTAATCGATAGGCTACATTTAAACCACCATATGAGAAGTGTTTTTATGAAACAAATGAAATACAAAATATGATTCACATTGTGGTATATAAATCAAATAACAATGCTTCTTGGACAAGAATATGTTCATTATTTAAATCCTTGAAATCAAATTCATTAAGGGTTACTATGATATGTACTACTGGTGTTGATAGATAGAAGTAATATGTATCATCAATCAAAAGTGAAACATCTGGTACTAGACAGTTAAGAAGATCGAAAAGAAGAGAATGAGAACAAAGAGTACTTGGTATGGAAACGAGGGAACAATCAACTTTGAGACAACGAACTGATATTTTGCAAATTGAAGTATTTACTGTATGGTTCACAGATTTTACTAAGAGATTCTATAATGTTGTGTTCAAATACATTCGATTATCCCCACATATGTTCTTGTTCTCTGTATTACTACTATTCAATAAGCAAGTAAATTTATCAACTACTTGATAGGTAGCTGATGTATACAAGAATGCGAAAGGCCTAACAAATGTTAGAGCAATCTTTATTTAAATGTATATGAAATACATCGTATTTCTTTCTATAGTATTAACTACTAATCTATGTAGAGATGATGTTTGAACGAATTGAGTTGCTTTTATGTTGTAGAATAGAAACATGACTATTATATCTCAACAATAAATACTGTAAAGAATATATCATATTCCTTATTCATCATTTTGATAATCCATTAATAAAATGTAAAATAATGATTACACACATTGTCAATTTAGATTAACTAACCTTTAGTTGTTGATTATTTCGTTTTAAAAATTGTATTTCATCTTGATGTTTCTTTTCTTCTAATTGTCTTTGTTCTGCTGCACGTTTTTCAATCTGTTCACATTTTGTTTTTAATTCATATACTTGTCTTTCTAAATCTTTCTTTTCTTGTTCCAAGTCACTAATCTATAAATAATATTAATCTAGAAATTATCAGACTACAAATGCTTGTAATGAATTCCTGGGTATTTTCCTTTATTTATTTTAACACATAGATATTGGTACAAGGAGGCACCAAATTCATATGCGCCACATAAATCTCATTTGATATGTGTGAGGGCTGTGATACTGCCCGGGTGCCTTAACCGAAGTAGGTGGTTTTCTTAGAGGGCCACACCCAGAGCCTTCAACCTGAAGGTCTGATCCACAAGGCAGTGGAGAAACGTAAGGAGATACAGTCCCATGGTAGTCGGTGACCAACGATTGGTTCATACGCCATTTGTTCCTTCAGGATACTGGAGCCCATGTGCACCATTAGTTTGAAATCAGGGTTTTCCAACTCCCCTAGCTGAACTCCCCATGTCCACCAACCCGGTTAAAGCTCCGAACATTAGCTTTTCGTCTTCTCAATTTCGTAAACAACACCCCCACCACGATAAGGCAGTAAGTAGGACCTTCCTGACAGATGCTATATACGCGTGGCCATGTGAGAGCATTTCGAGAGGAAGAGCCGTCCTAGGGCATTTGGGGGCATATATATCATCAGTGATTTTAAATTTCTACTTAATTCTCAAGCAGAGAAAGACTTATAAGTACATTGGTTCTATTCTCCAACCATTATTTGACATCCACCTCTATCACTAATTATCCTCATGGAGATTTCACTATGTTGTAAAGAATTTGGTGTTAATGTCGATTAAATTTTCGCACGATCTAATGACACTGATCCACCATTTATAAGATCAGAAGTGTGTTAATGCTATTTACACCTTATTTAAAACTACTAAAGTAATAATATATTAGGAAAGCATATTAATAAATGGCAATATGTAGTACAGTCGCGTGAAAAAGCTAATGGCAGTGGAGTTTAGTAGCTTAGTTCAAGTAAAAGCTCTTGGTATCTGCCATGATTCTTGATCGTGTTTAGTGAACTTAAGCGCTCCAAACTTTAAATCTATCAACAGATAAAGAAGACTAGATGATCTACCTTGGACTGCGAATGAGCGAAACATATTGTGAATACAGACAGATTACTGAATATGGATTACTTACTTTAACATCAAGACCACCTTTGTTTGATATACTTTCAGTAGATAAAAGATTTGCTCAAAATAACCCGTGTCTATCAAGTTCGCTAGAAAAATAAGCGTTTTTCAGTCAAAGATACTATTCCTCATCAGCTAGAACCTGGTATGTTCTTTCCCATAGTAGGCCGTTGCTGATGATATCCGATCAACGGATATTGAATGTCTTGCGCAGACAACTATCTATAAATACTTATACTCTCTTGATGATGGTTGTAGTAGTTCTCCACGTTTCAGTTTCGTAAAGTAGGAATGTCTTGATGTTTGTGGACTACGGTTATTTTTATCGTATCTATTCTTAAAGCTATAATTCTTTCTAAGTCAATTCAATGTTAGAAGAGACGCAAACACCACGTTCAGTCAGACATAAGTAACATAGGACTCGAGACATATGTTGGCCAGGTTAAGCTGCTACACCACTTCAATACTTGGATTAAATTGCAGAAGGCTTGAATGTCTACGTACGTTTGCAGAATTCCCAGTAAAATGGGGTCCAAGTATTACAGTAAGAGTGTCAACCAAGTGTCCCAATGACAACTTTGAGTAGTTCGTGTTCCTGTGTATTTGTAGACCATGGAAATAAGACACCCTAGCTTGAAGCTGAAAATATGCTTCAATGAGTAGTTTTACGAAATACTTATTTTGTTATAAAACTACAACCAAGACTAAAAATAGATAATTGAAATACGAGATTGTTATTTTTTAATTAAACAGTAAACAAATCTCTTATATTCGTGAAATTGATAAACTGGTGCTGATTTGACTGAGTTCACTCAACCATGAATATGTAGGTGGTTAACCACTGTTTCGATACAAACTTATTTTAACCAAGACACACTATTTAAAAATATATAGAAGTTTTAATATAGGTATACCTTACCATTCGTTCCATGTCAGCTTTCCCTTGTTCAGATTGAAGAGCTTTACGCATGCCGAATGCTATGCTTGATTCATAAAGTGTCTGGTATGCTGCTATTGTCATTCTTATCTCGTCACGGACGCGAAGGAGAAGCAAACCCCGTTCAGCGCAGTTAATAGTCACTTGTCTTATTAGTTCGTCAAATACCTGAGAAATATTCCATCTTAAAGAGCGTTTTTGTTACTTGATTGTATAGTTCTCTGCGGACTGGGCATATTCCAGTTTCTCTAGCTTGACGCTGTTGCAATCGTCTATCGAGCTCTTCCTGTAAATTAACAACGTCAAGTCGTGTTGCTGGTGTGCTTGAAGCACGTTGAATCCATAGCTGACCGTTTTCACTCCACTCCCTTTATAATGTGATGCATAATTTTCAGATCTACCTTGGCGGAAGAATCGAATTCAATATTTCTTCTGTTTGTTGGTTGCTTTTAGCTTCAACTAAGGATGTCTTCCCTCTGGGTGAAACACAAAGTTTGTTTGAAGAGTCTGTAACTGGATGAGTTCCCTTTAACGTAGGTGCCTGAAAAAAAGTCTAAAACTTTCTATTTTTAAGCTACCCCGGGAGATTTTTTATCTGAATTTTTAGTAATAAGTAATGGATTGTCATATTTTATCAAAGAAACATTCAGTGGCATCATGTTCCTATTTGTCTGTGTCTATTCGTAAGGTACTTTGTATGCCGAGGAAATGTGCACAACTTTATGTGAGAACAACTGTAATATATAAGAAAAGAGAAAGAGTTAGCCCATGACTTAGTGAGCACACAGGGAAAACTTAAATTTAATAAGCAAAGCTATATATGGTAATCATCAATATTATAGAAATAAGACTCAGACAATTTTTATTCAGAATTTAATGTGCTAACAAGAGACAACGAGAGATTACTAATTTATGATAAAGTCAAAAGTGGAGTTATGGAAACGGTACATTCAAATGGTTAAAACAATTTTCAAAGCCAGTATAAGTACAATACATTGACAAAACGAGGCTACTTATTATCCAAACAGAAAGCGTAATTTATATACAGAAGAACCAATAACAAATAGCATTGTGGTTGTAAAGGTTAAATAATTTTGAGTAAAAAAAAGGAAAAGTGTTTTGTAATACTGCATGAAGTAAAATAAATTTTGATATTACTAACATAGTTAAGGTACCAAAATAAAGTGCCCGTGCTCAGGTGAATCTGAAATCAGCAAGTATACAAGAAATGCTAACGATGACGTTTGAAGTTCGACTGCTACACAGTAACAACAATAATATTAGTACAACAGACTAATATCATAAGGTTTGCTTCTTGTTATCATAGTACCGTTCTGGGTATCTAGTAATGTTCAGTTGATGATAGTCTAGACTTTTGGCTACACTAATTCTAGCAGGTTCGGTAGTCAATTGTGGATATGTACATCTTGCAATTTGATTGAGTGCGCTTTTCTCAGAAGAGTAAGATTTTTGATACCAGCAGCTGTCACATTACCAGGCAAGAAACTGGATTGTTGCAATGTAGGGATAGTAAAGTAATAATTTGAGTGCGAAGAGAAAACGACGACCCCAAGGAGGAATAACTAATTGGTAATGTGTAAGAAGACGGAGCCGAAAAGATGAGAGGGGAAACGGAGATGATAACAAAGGAAATGGAAAGTGGTCACTGATTTATGGTAATGATAACCGCGGCAAGTTGTAAGACATGCATCAGACACAGCTGGCCGAAGAGGGAGATGGTAATGCATGGGTTAGTGCTTGCCAAGTCTTCTCTAAAACCCATGTACTGAGGGGGTGATAGTCACTTAGGATGGGAAAACACTCCAAATGAGGGCGACTAATGATGATAAAAGGTGAGAGAGCATCTGGGTGTTCGCTCTTTGATGTGCAATCTTCCGAGGGTTGCCTCAAGGGGCTTAATGACGATGTTATTTTAGTGTGTTTGCTAGCATCCTCCATTCCTTTCTTATCTCATGGCGTCATACATATATTCAGTCAGTTCTGTACTTCTAATGGCTGCAACAAGTCTGTCATTAAATCACTCAGAAGGGGTTATATTCTGCTTGCTGAGGCTTTGTGGTAGAGTGTTCAAGTCTCCAAACAGAAGTATTAGGTTAGAATCCAGATGATGTAGTTCTAGCATCCCTTGTATTATCCCATCTTCCGGGAGTTAGAAGATGTGGGGGCTGACATGTCTCTACAATTAAGTACTTTCAGCCATTCTCATCAAAGCAACATCGGTATAATTCTATCACTTCAGTTAGTTCAGCACTGTGTTATCATAACCTTGAGGTGACTGTTAATGTATATTGCCGCTCCATCTATTTTGTGTACCTCATCGTATCTGGGAGTTGTCATGCCTTGAATGCTCACTTCTTCCTCCATGATTTTTAGCGATAGACGCGTTCTAAATAGGACTGTATCATTGATCATTTATTCTTGAAACACCGACCAGCGACGATCCGTAAGACGTTAAGCGAGAACACCAAGACTGTTACAAGTGTAGGTCTGTTCACCTCGAAGACATGACAACAACTCTAGTGGAGAATACATCGAATTCTATATTGATTTGTACACCCATTTGATTTTTGATTACGAAAAAGTCACATGTATAAAAAAATTCTCCGAAATGTAACAAAACCACATACCACATCTCACGCTAAAAGTAGTTCAAGTTAATTCAATGCAAAAAATATAATTTTTAGAATAAACATCACGCCGAAATTAACACATATATTAAATTGAAAAGTCATCATATAGAAGCGAAAAATTACTGTCAAACAAGTATAGCAATGAGTTAAAAATATAACGTCGTCACTTATTACTGACACATCACCTCGCTATTTTTAAAGGATTATAAGAAAGGTTTTCCAACGGTTTCCACCCGCCATCTCATATAACTACAAACGTTTGGAAGGAGAAAAATGCTCATGATTGGACATATTACTCGTACTTGTAGTTACAGTGCAAATACTGGTCGCAAAGCTATTACTGTGCATACCACCCAATAAAGAGGAAGTAAAATGTGAGACAATTTAAAGAACAGGTATGCCAGACGAATGTTTTGGAGAAGGAAAATAATAAATATAGGTGAACATGTGCTACATGATGTTAGTGAACACTTTACTGATGCAAATATGATCGACCTGGTTCTCCGTGAATTACTCCAGGGGTATCCATGTAACTTTGTGCCTGCGTTTATGTCGCCTATAACCATTTTGTTGAACGTATATAAATTTGCAAGTCTCTCTCCATTCTCGATCCTTTTTCCCAGTCCATCTCGTCTTATGAGATATTTACACTCGTGTTACTCACTCTCATTTTGGCATTTAGGTCCCACATCAAGATGGTCAAGTGCTTTCCTTAGCACTTTGTAATGATTGATTGCAGTCTGTCGTCGTTGTTATAACATTGGACAATGTTATAGTGATTCTAACCTCTTATTTTTGAATGATATTCTGATGATCCTTTATCCATGACATTTTCATCCTATGGGTGGTTTACGCGCCTCTATAGACAGCATTAGAGGAACCTCCTGGTTGTGCGCAGCGTTTTCTTCGTAAACGGAGTAAAGCAGCAGCGCTTCCGAATCTATCCCTTATTGTCCAGCTTGGGTCCAATGTGTTTTACTGATTCCGAGCACCGCCAATTTGTATCTTTCCGTCTTTGTAGCTATTTGGCTGGTCTACCCGGACTTCTAAAATGTCCGGACGTTCCATTTACTTAAAGTATTATTTGCTGTGGTTATTATAAGGGAAATTAGCCTCATAGCTTCCAAAAGAACTAAGGTTTTCACTATAGGCGTCATAACTTTTCTAAATACAGATTCGTCAATTTCAAACACTGAATTTATATGGATGATCTACGAAGATTAGGGTTATTAACCACGCAACCACTTGTACACAGTTGTCCGGCGTAGCGAGCGACAGTAGATCAAGAAAAGCTCTTGGTGGAGCTGATCGAATGGATTTGATAAAAGAATAGCTTCATTACATACTTGTAGTACTTGAGGAAGATTTCGTCAAATAGTGAGAGATAAACGTAAGTCCCATAATTGGCGAGTCCGTGGTAACATCAACTCCTAAAGTCACCATCCTCGAAGCTAACTGAGAAGACTTACATTGAACGCTCAACACTTGGAAGACGTGAACATGGGAGTATGTGGTTGGGACACCATGGTTCAGTAATACAGGTGTGGCCACCTTTTGCTTTCTGTGATGAATACATAATTCTATCCCCAGCCGAAATATGTTCTTTAGGGTTCACATAAAGTACACTACCTACTGTCATGGTAAAAAGAGTTAGTGTAGACGATGATGTGACTTCTATGTAAGATCTTATGAACTAAATAGTCATATCATAGCGACTTCACAGTATAAGATTATTTTTATTATTCCATCCATAAAGCGGTTCAGGGGATATCTAAATTGAGCAAGCGTTCGACGTGACCGGATATCTACTGGAAACCTATTCCAGAGGTTTGCATAACGTGTGACGAACAAAGTTAACTTTAATTTACCTGATTTTCTCGATATCTTCAGCACAAAATCCTGATTTTGAAGGTTGGAACTACTACGTTTGGCAAATGCTAGAGTTTCATGACTTGCCGTAGTTTTATTATGCGATATTTCGAAATTTTAAAGTGAGGTTAAGTTTAACCCGTTTTTACCGCAACTGATGCGGTTTCTGTGCTTCTCATTTATGCTTATATGGTAGGTCGGACGTGAAAAATCTTGCAAAATGAAGTTGTACCTTCCCAATTTCTAGCCGGTCAATGGAACGCATGTAACTTAATATAGTTGGGAAGCATTCCAGTAGAGGCTAAACACGTATCTTGTATGATGTTATTTTCGGTTCCCTCAAGTGAAAATTGCGGTTGACGAACCCAATAAGTCTGCTGACTTTAAGCATTTGGGGTTTAGCCCTTTCGGTGAATGAAAGACCTATGGAGTATTTCAATTCAACTTGTCCGGGTGCTTATTTGTGGGTTGGACGTGTCGAAATACATGTACTCAGATTTTTTCGTGTTAAGAGAGAAGCCAGGCATAACATCGGTTTTTGAGTTGGTCCAGATCTTAAAGTAT